GGGTCAGCTGTCCTGGCTGTGCCCCCTCCCAGCTTCTTGTGCACCTCCAGCCTTCTCAGTCGGTAGAGCATGGGAAGCTGAAAAGTCCTTGATTTAGTGTAAGCGATACTAAAACATCGGTGTGTTATCAACATTATTCTCATCCTAAATCCAAAACACAGCACTGTACCAGCTACTAGGAAGAAAATTAACTCTATCCCAGCCGAAACCAGGACAGTATGGTACAAAATTCCATATATATTCATGTGTTCATGTATCACAGTGCCTCTAAGTTTGCTGTTAAAAATCTCAAGATGCATCTGACAAAACTGAATTTTTTCTGCACTGTGAAAAACATGGACTTAAGGGGAAGTCTCCCTGTTGAATCTCAGGGAGGAGGTTAAGCCTTTTCTTTCTTCCTTTTTTATGCACCGGTGTTATTACAGATGTGTGGTGATGCCTTGCAGTAAAAGGGTGTATTTCACTGTCTTAAACCTAAGTTTAAAATCCTTGGGTCTGACCTAGAGAGTTCTAGCCACAAAGCAAAACTTTAACAAATACACATTTTCTGAATAACTTCTATTCTACAAGCTGCTTTTGTGATGTTTGACACAATATAAATGAGATCTACTTGAACAGTTCTTATTGCCTAGATTGGAGATAAATATTGTCATTAGATTCTGCAAAATGAAGAGAGGGTCAAAAAAAGGAATTCAGACATTTTATATAAATATACATTTTTGAAATTGGTAAGATGGAATTGTAGTCTGTTGTGCAAGTATAACTTCATAATTTCTATGAAAACTGTGACTCTTTCATTAATTGCAGACATGCTGTTATTTGTCTCCTGTCGTTTTCCACATATTTTAAATGTCATGGTTCTTTTGATAGCGATAATCAGTTATTAATGTGAGGTCCAATTCTTCTGTGAAATTTCACCTCAAACATAACTTTAATTAGATTCTTTTATAAATATTCTGCCATCTTACCGCTTTCAAAAATGTATATTTATATAAAACGTCTGAATTCCTTTTTTTGTCCCTCTCTTCATTTTGCAGAATCTAGTGACTCTTTCATTAATTGTAGACATGCTGTTATTTGTCTTATGTCACTTTCCACATTTGTAGCAGCCTGCTATCTCTTAACTTCATCTTTAGATCAGTCAAAGACAGGTGGACTCTGCGCTGGGTCAAAAACTGGCTGGACAGCCGGGCCCAGAGAGTTGTGGTGAATGGAGTCACATCCAGTTGGCGGCCGGTCACGAGCGGTGTTCCCCAGGGCTCAGTACTGGGGCCGGTCTTGTTTAATATCTTTAT